TTTATTGGTTTCATACATATGTATCCGTATACTAAAGCGGATTAATTAAATGTGAACACAGATTATGATGTCAACTTGGCAATGCTGTTCGCTTCAGCTGACGATTTGTTCGTGACATTACGTTACAAAATTTTCCGAGCATCCAGACATCTGGCAGGGCCGCCCTCGTAGCGGGAGTTATGGGTTGATTTCCTTCACTTTTAAAAGTCGAGTAAAAAATTTGTTTTCCGATTTTCTGTCTTTATTAAGTCTTCTGTATAGAATACAATTACTGGCTTTAGTTATAAAATGAGCTTGGGCCAATCACTTCTTGTTTTCATTTTTTACACTTCTAACGTTTATTGTGGTGGAGAAAATAGGATACATTTTCTACCAAAAGTTAAAGAAACACGTTCAATTGAAAATAGTAATGATATCAAAAATTTAAAACCAAAGTAGAACCATTGTCAATTTTGAAGAAGTCACCTAGATTATAGGTCAATACGTGGAAAAGAAAAAAATCTATTTATATAATAAATTGTCAACGTTTTCTTATCAGCCTGTTCCTTTTAAATGCTAATTGTAATTGTTTCAATCTTACCGTTTTATCTAAAAAGGTTCTTATAAATATTATTAGTTCAAATTTTTTTCACATATTGACATACAGTCTAGCAAAAAGAAAAAGCAAAAATATATATATTTTTGTTTCAGAATTGGTAACCCAGAAGAAATAGACTGAGAGAGATGCCAGAAATGTTATTACTGAAAAAAAATAATAAAATAAACAGTTAACCAATTTATTATTTAAGAGTAGTTATTACCCTCGTCCCATATTTTATATTTTTAGCCATGATTATTAGTCTAATTAAATGGGCCTTTAAATCGCAATTTTGATCAACTTGCCTAAATTTTTTATATAAGTTAGTTTAAGGTATATAATAACAATTAAATGACAGTACTTTTTTTTTTCAAATAAAAAATTCAGGCGAGTTGACCAAAATTGCGATTTAAAGGCCCATATAATTCGACTATATTCATAGTAAAGTTTAAAATATAGGTACATAGAACATTACTAACATGTTCAGAGAATATACCCAGAATTATTCATGTAATATCTATCATATTCAATCTCACATCTATAATATATTCTAGGTACATACTTATAATAATCGGACTAATTAAATATTGTACCAAGTATATTCGTTTAAGAACATTCTGATTTTAGATATTCTATATTCTTTGAATATTTGTGAATATCTACAGAATATTTCAAAATGTATAATCTAAGTTTATCTGAGATATTCCAATATGATGATTCTATGAATATTCTCAAAAGTACAAATATATTTAAAACAGATTCTAGGAATAATCAAATATTCTAAATCGAATATACCTACTTGGATTATTCTGGGAATATAATAATATATTGCTGTCTGGGATTATCTTTCTATTATTTCGCCTTCAATAAAATATTTGTAAATATCTTGAAATTACAAATTTTGGAAAGTGTATCTTTGCTACTTTAAAATTTAAATCCAAAATAATGCACATGCTTTTAATAATTTTTTATAATACCAATTTTGGAAACATTTAAAATGCAATTTCTAAATACAGAGTGTAATACTTCTACTTTTTACAGAATTCTTTTCAGAAAAATATACAGGGTGTCATTTAAAACAGAAAAGTTACGGTTGTTTTCGGTTAAACCGGAAGTGAAAGAATTTTAATAATAGGCTCAACTTAAAGAAGTTTAGGTGTATATCAAATGCCATTGGAACAATACAATTGAGACACCTGGTATAAGTAATATGACGCCAATCTCTAATTTATCTAAAATGTTAACCATATTCTGAAACTTAATACGATGTACAACAAAAATGCTGATTTTATAATATAAAATTTTCATTAAATTCAATTTCATTTCATTCAATTTTTGATCAATTTATTTTTTTATTACATTTCAATGAACCCAGTAATAATAAGTTAAATGAATTGCAAATTATATTGTTTAAAATAAAATAGAAAAAAAACTTCTTGTAGTTGGGTTATGCGGTTTTTGTTGGCACATTAAAATTACCCTTTTATACAGGGTGTCCGGTAAGTACCTCCTAATCTCTCGGGAGTGTATAGGGGAGGTCAAAATAAAACTAGTCCTTCCTATAATTTTTTTTCCTAATGTGCCCCCTAACGGAGTTATGGGGGGTCAAAGGGGTACCTAGAAATTAACGTTTAGGGTTATAACTTTGAAACCACCCTGTATATTTTAATAAAATTTTCGTACGTTGTATTACACATGGAGCTCTACGATTTGATGCTAAAATCAACTTTTTGCTATTATCAGGTGTCCAGAAACGGACTGGCCCTATCACAATTTTTCTCAAAATTTTGACAGAAGTAATTTTATCAAACTGAAAATATTATTATTAGATACTCTGAAGGTTTTTCTTTAAAAATGGTACTCTTTATTTATTTCGAAAAAATGAACGGTTTGCGAGATAAATCGGTTTTGAAAAAAATTGGTAACAAATACAACAATTAAAATTTATTTTTTTTACATATTATTTCATGCATTTAATTTCTTTAACTTTATCAAGTCCAGAAATCTTTGAACGGGTTGGCTATACTTTATGAGCAAGTAGTGACCAATTAAAAATAACATTTGAAAAATAACTTACTTACAAGACATGCAACAAAGAACATTCAACAATGAACAAAGGTACCTAAATGTTACTTCGGTAGATGTTCAAAATGAGCACCCCGTACTTCAATGCACTTTCTAATCCTACGAATGTTTTCCCGGTGCACTTGAAATAATATTCCGTGATTATTGCGGAGATGGTCACAGTTCTGTGTTAGCCTCAGCAGAAGTTCCTCTCTACTATTTACGGGTGTTGAATAAACGTTATTTTTTAAATGACCCCACAGAAAAAAGTCTAATGGGTTTAGGTCGGGCGACCTAGGTGGCCATAATACAGGTCCGCCTCGACCTATCCATCGATCACCAAAAACATTCGTCAGATGTTGACGTACTAAACGATCAAAGTGGGGTGGTGCACCGTCATGCATGTACCACATTTCAGTTCTTATTTGAAGGGGCACTTCTTCTAACAAAATATTTAGATTTTCCTCTAAAAATTGCAAATAAAGAGCACCATTAAGTCTTTGCTCCAGAATAAATGGACCAATCAAATGATTCCCGATAATGCCAGCCCACACATTCACCATAAACCTTTGTTGGTAGCGAGTTTGAACTAAAGCGTGAGGGTTTTCTTCATCCCAGACATGTAGATTATGCGAATTAATTATGCCGTCTCTTGTAAAACCTGCTTCATCGGTGAACAAAATAGATGTACCAAAATTATGATTCCGAATATGATGCTGTAAAAACCAATTGGCGTATTGAAGTCTTTTTGGATAATCATCTGGAGACATAGCATGTACTTTTTGGATGTGGTACGGGTAAAGCAATTGTTCTTTCAGAGTTTCATGTACAGCCCATTTTGTAACATTGTTTTGCGCCGCAAGCTTCCTTATGCTATTTGAAGGATTATTAGCAACGTCTTCCAATATTTGTTCCTCTACATGAGGGTCTCGTACTCTCCTCGGGGCTCCTGCTCCACCACGGCGTGGCAAAAAGCTTCCTAAATAAAGGATTCGGAAGAAATTAGTTTCACTAACGTTTTTCACTTTTTTTTTTTACCTGTTTCTCTTAAACTACGATCAACTCTTTCAAAAGTTTTTGGACTCGGCAAATGTCGACCCGGAAACCTTTCCTCATAAAGTCTTCTTGCCTCCACGGAGTTGCATAATGCTTCCCCATAAATTAGGTGCATATCAGCATATTCTGCACAGGAATATTCTTCCATTTTTAAATGTTATTTCTAACGGCTTAAAACGAATACCACAATAAAATTGAATTTTTATTCTGTCACGCGCCTTTGACAAGTACTTTAAAATCAACAGGGTCTAACAACGAAAACAATAGAAAAGAACTCCATGGAGACAAGAGCAATAATAATTTGTAGATGTATTTTGGTCATAGATGTTGATTTTACAAGAAACGGCATTATTCATTCCCTTAATTCACCACCAGTAAATGTTTATGGTGAATCTGTAGGCTGGCACTAGCGGGAATGATTTTATTGTAAAAAAATAAATTTTAATTGTTGTTGTATTTGTTACCAATTTTTTTCAAAACCGATTTATCTCGCAAACCGTTCATTTTTTCGAAATAAATAAAGAGTACCATTTTTAAAGAAAAACCTTCAGAGTATCTAATAATAATATTTTCAGTTTGATAAAATTACTTCTGTCAAAATTTTGAGAAAAATTGTGATAGGGCCAGTCCGTTTCTGGACACCTGATAATAGCAAAAAGTTGATTTTAGCATCAAATCGTAGAGCTCCATGTGTAATACAACGTACGAAAATTTTATTAAAATATACAGGGTGGTTTCAAAGTTATAACCCTAAACGTTAATTTCTAGGTACCCCTTTGACCCCCCATAACTCCGTTAGGGGGCACATTAGGAAAAAAAATTATAGGAAGGACTAGTTTTATTTTGATCTCCCCTATACACTCCCGAGAGATTAGGAGGTACTTACCGGACACCCTGTATTGTCGACACGCTAGACGTTAATAAAAAAGTAAGATTTGGAAAGTTACAATTTTGTTATCTTCTGAACATATAATCCTGATTGGCGTATGGTTTTGTACAGGATGTTAGCAAGGCTCTACTAGAAAATTTTTTCTGATGTGAGTTAACCATTTCATGCAATTTTTCAACGGTATGATAAAAGCAATTTATTAATATATTACAGCACCAACGGACGTTAGAAATTAATTAACTTCCAAATGCAAATATTTCTGTTATTATACAACTTAGTTATTAGTGTTATTTTTGTGAAACATATTTGACCTAAGCTCTTATAATTAAAACTCCGCTTTAAAAAACATTCTACATAAGGGAAGACACGTTAGGTTAGGTTTCAAATACATTTAAGTTAACAAACACGTTAGAATCTAAAATCAGTAACATAATTTATACTGGAACAAATCACATGAAAAATATGTACAAAAGTTTATATAAAATTTCAGGGGCAGATGTGAAACTATTAAATGGTAGGTACCTTTTTGTAACAAAAATATTGTAACGTAGCATAACGTTTTTTTTTTAATTTCAGCAAAAATATATTTTTGTACAAATGCGAAACTAAAATGTATTGTTTTGTATATTACTTAAGATATTGTTTAATTATGTTGTCCACGCATTCAAAAATCATTGTTATTATGGCACCCCCTTCAGACTCAAGGTTATTTATAACTGTTGGTGCATAATCTTCAATTCCAGAACGCGATTCATCTGCTAATGTCTGTCCAGTTTTCACAAATTTTCTAATTTTGTTGGGGAGAGACAATATGGCTTCTTCTATTTTTGTTGACAGTTTGTCTAAGCAATTTGTGGAAGATATATCACCTTCACAGTCTGCTAGTTCCTCTTCAAAATCAGTAATCTCGTCCTTGACCCTTTGAACCTGAAAAAATAAAGATAAGATAAGCTAAGATGGTTAAAAAGTTATCGGATGTTTAGCATACAAAATTGTTCTACCTAGACATCTACCAAAACTCATATAATACAAACAATCGTCTATAACACACCTTGTCATAATAGGCAATGATAATAAGACAAGCATAGAAAAAAACAAAAGTGGTATGTTCCGAAGTTTAAAGCTATAGACTAAGCCGAATAGGAAAATTTTCCTAATCATTTTAGGCACCGATGATGACTTAAATACCACAACCTAAAAGAAGACATTTGAGCACTATACCATCAATTCTCCGTAGCACATGGGTGGTCAGCGGAAAATCAATAATAATAATTAATAATTTTTTATAGCATTGTAAAAAATGACCGGTGAAATAGAGCAGACTGCTTTGGAACACAAAAGTTACAACGGTTACGCGTGAGCAAATGATGCACATCAAAGTTCGTAATGAGCTTTGAGGTTAAATATTCAGGATTATTATATAACAATAACTTAAAAGCTAAACAGGACAACTAGATCCGAAATCTATCACTGAGATTAAACCAGTTCGAATTTTTAAAACTAGGAGAGATATGATCAAACTTACGAAGACCATAACAAAATCTGATACAAACAGTTTGAATTTTTTGAAGACACTTTTTATCCCTGAGGACCAAAGCAGGACACGGCCATGCAGTATGCTATGATGTATAATATCAGCGTATTACAAATTTTTAATTTAATTTCAGTATTAAGAAGATCTTTATGCATGTAAAGGACTTTCAGCTTACCAAAAGATTTCTGAGTAAGAACTGTGGTAAAAAAATTGTGAAAAAATTTTAAGAAATAAAGGAAATTCCTATGAAAATAATTCTACCTCCATGCGGTGAAAAATGTAGAATAAAATGCTGTGATAAAATTTCTCCTTAACAAGTAAATTTTTTCGGAGTTTTATAAGCTTGGCGATACTGAAAAACAAAAAGAATATGTAGCATCAAATATGACAAAAATTAGTTCCAAACATCGGGGGTTTTAGAGTTGAAGTAACAAAAGCCTAGGGAAGATTCCACTCGGCAAAATATGTAAAAAAGTTGCATAAAGTGCATCGTTTCCGAGGGTGTTAATTTAAAAAAAATGTTTTAGCCGATTTTAATGAATTTTTTACGATTTATTAAAACAATTGTCATACGTCAACTGGACCAATAATTAGATTTGATCCAGAATTTTCAGGTGCGTATCCAGCGAGCAAGTCGTTTCTTTTTTGTAAAAAAAATATCGCCCTCCAGTTTTTTTGCGGTTTTTATGTAATATTCAGATAAACCCACTAAAAATAGTACATTTGTGTCTCTTGCACTTTTTAGTGTCTCCGCTTCGTTTTCGAGAACCTTGGCACGTCTCTGAACTCCATAAGGAAAAATAACAATGCTTAGGAATTTATCCAAAAAATTATCGCAGTATGTTTCTTTATGAAAACATAAATAAAACATGGAATGACATTGTCTGAACTATTCAGACTGCTCAAAAAACAAAATATTTGTGAAACAGGAAAGGTAACAGATGATAAAAGAGGAAAAGAAGAAAATCACAATAAGATTATTGAAGGAATAAAAAATAAATTAAGTTACACATTAATTCAATTCAGTAGAAGCTCATTATTGTGTGCAAATCATAATATATCTTTTCATATAGGAAGAAAGATCAACGCGAGTTATGTTTGGAATATGAACAAGGATCAAAAGAAGAAAAAGCTAAACTCTAAGAAAGACATCAAGAACATTTACGAGAAAAGGTACTCAGTCGAGAAGAAAAAGACAATGACAAACAAAATAGTGCCCATGATGTAAAAGTTGTAGTTTTGCTCTGACCAACTCGGTCATGCAAGTTCGTTCTATCGTATGTCTCAAAGTTGATGTTTTCAATTTTACTCTTTTTGACATCAAAGCCACAGAAGGTGTGTGTTATTTGTGGCATGAGGGAGAAGGTTTGCGAGGTGCAAATGAAATAGGAACATGTATATTCAAATACATTGAAGCTCTTTCCGATAAAAGTGAATATTTAGAAATAAATTTCTATTCCAACAATTGTTATGGGCAAAATAAAAACAAGTTTATACTGGCTCTTTATGTTTACATGATTAATAAATTGATAGTCAAGTCTATTCACAAATATTTTATAAAAGGACATAGTCAAAATGAAATCCCATTTTTGTTCAGATCAATATGCTGTTATAATCAGACAAGCTAAAAAAAAGGGAAAAAGCCATGAGCTTAATGAATGATGTTTCAAATACACAATTGATTAGAAAAAGTTGGCTTCAGAGCTTTATATCAATATCTCAAGAAACGTCAAATGTATGAATCTCCGAGTAATTACTCGGAGACTTAATTAAGTAGCAAAAATCTTATCGAATTAGAAAGAAAGCTTTATGGAAACATAAATTATCAATCGAAGAAAAAACATTCAATTTGACTAAGTTATAGGTATAAAATTAAATCCTGCTTTTGTGAAAAAACAGGGATTTCCGAGGCAAAGGAAAAAGAGTTACTGGAGTTAATTGAGGAGTTTTTTATTATTATTCAGATTTTTTTAAAAGCCTCTAAATTAATGACTTTCGCCTTTAGTATTAAGTTTCACTTAGTGAGTTGTTTTCATTAGTTTTTACTTTACTGATTAGCAAAATAATGATTTTTCAATTTTGTTCCAATTAAAAGGACTTAAGTAAGATTTTTTTATTTCTGCAGAAGAGCGTCACATATATTTTCAAATCCGTTTGTATGAAAGTCCATAAAATCAATGCTTTTAAATGTTTTTGCTCTATTTTTATATAATAATATTAAAGATACAAGTAATTTTTGTTTGATTTATGACCAATAAAGATATTTTATTACAAGTCTTCATCTAAAAAAAAATATGTTTAAGATAGTTACTACTAGTTCTATAATTTTCTGAATTTTTGTATTTTTAAGTAAGTGATAAGAACAAGAGGTATATATTACAAAATAAAACAAGCCCGAATATTTACGAGTGTCAAAGTTATGATATAGTTTGTTATAAAAAGTCTATAAATAGCTCTCTGTAAAATCAAGTTTTTGAGTTTTTAACCCTCTTCTTCCGCATGGTCCATATCACATAAATGCGCAATGAAAATTTTTGATCATCTTAAACAGTGATGACTTCAAAGGAATATTAGTTCTCCCTCTAAAAGTGTGGAAGGTAATACTTTGCCTAGAATGGTGTCTGGGGAGTATTAAAGGCAATTTGTCCTAAAAATTCAGGACAATCGCAGAATTATGCAGAAGTCCATACAAAAACTTTGAAGAAATACGATTTCTTCTTAACTCTAGAGTAGGGGTCGGCAACTGGCGGACCGCGGTCCAGGTCCGGACCGCGGAAGGTAAAATACTAGACCGCCAAAAATTTTTTGAAAGTGTAAAATACTCAAATAAATTATTTAAAAAATGTTTTTTTGCGTTTGAGTGCCAACCTTATCATTTTTTCTAGTATGTTACAATTGTGTGAGTGTTTTGAGTTCTTAATGGTTAATAAGCAGATTAAATTTGAATCCAAATTAAAACAAAAAATTTGTAAGAAATATGAATTTTTTTTTCTGGACATCGTTAAAATTTTTCAAAAGTATCCGGACCCCACCTAAAATTACTTGCCGATCCCTGCTCTAGAGGATCAATGGTATTATTTGTTAAATAAGAATTATAATCTAATTCCTATAAGTATTTTAAATATCACCTTTGTACTCTTTCCGCTGCGTGAACATGAGAAATATAAAAGGTACCAAATCAAACATCCGTATTCTAACTTAGCCCGTATGCGAGAAAAATATAATATTTTCAATTTTGTTTTTTGTTTTACAATTTCTTCCAATAATGTAATGTTAATTATTCAATTTTCTTATTGTTTTTCTTTTATTTCTATTTATTTTTAACAATGTAAACACATCTATTTCCTTGTAAGTAGGCTTACATTTGTTTGATGATAAATATAAGTATAAATAATTTGAATTATTGTTGATCAAATCCGTTTGTCAAAATTAATAATTTTTTCATTAATACCTCAATTAACGTCAGTACTATAGGCTCCATTTTCGACAATTAATAATCTATATAAATCTTGTGTCAACGCACTTACGTTTCTCATAGCATCCACTGCGTAAGATACTCCTTCCATAACCTTGTAAGACACATTGCGAAAAAAGTACATGTAAAATTTGCGAGGAATGTTCAACAATTTTTCTTCATTTTCTGCTAAACACTCGTCTATGTTAACGTCGGCATCAGCAGCTATTTCTTTAATCGCATCCAACTGTCTTTTGAACCCATCTCCAACAGTGTTCATGACTATTTCCGCATCCCTTTCTACGGAACCAGCAGTTGATTCCACCTTTACTGCTGCTGCATCAATGATGAGCTTGGCTCTGTCTACAGACTCACTCGTGACTTTTTTTAATATTGCGAGTAGGTCCGTTGTGTCGTTTTTAACTTGTAAGGAGGTTTGAGAATAAATCTAGAATTTGCAAGTAATTTTCGTGTTTAGTATTCTATTCCGCATGAATCAGTTAAACAAATTGAGAAACAACCCACGAAAATAATAAAACGGTTTGAAGCATTCCACTACTGAAAGCTGTCTAAGTTGAGCGAGACAGTTTTTTTGGTAGTCTGAAGCATTTAGAATATTTCTATTAGTTAATTATAGATTATATTATTTGTCAGTTATCAATTCTAAAAGGCGAAGCAATTTTTCAATATTTCTGGCTAATTACTCAAAATTTTGGGGGTGTTTGAGCTAAACTAACTTCAGATTCGGATTCAGCACGTCAAAATACATAAAGCCTATTGGGCCCTGTCAAAGGTGCAGACCTTTTTTTGCGTGCCGGGATTATTAATGTAAATAAAATCAAATGATTAGTAGAAAGTAATTACGAAAATGAATTAATTAAAGATAATTGAAAAGAACCCTCCGAAAATCATCTAAAAAGTTTTATCTGCACGCCAATTCTCAAAGTTTATGCACAAAAAAAAGACGTAATACATATGTAGAGTTCTTTATTCCAGCTATTTGCTTTTACCGAAACGAGTAATCATTTTTACAATAATTTTTAGTAATTTCTTCTAATGTTAATTTAAACAGTAAACATTAGCTCGTATTTTGATTAAGAAAAATAGTAGGTACGTAATGTTACAACTGTTAAGATTCATGTCGCTCTGCTTTTGAGAAGAAACTCTCGAACAGAATGAAAGGTAAATATTTTATTATAGCACAGAATTGTAAACACCAGAAACGACACAGATCCGCTTCCCGCCAATTATTTTTTCGAGTGCGCGTGTGCGAAAATCATGAGTAGAAAAGGTGGAACAGTGAGTGTTTTGTTCATTGGTATTTCAGTAAAACAACAACAAAAGACAATATTTAGGTTTCCAAAAAGTGTTGAAACTAGTATCCTCGTAGATGTTATTACAAAGTTGCAGTTACATAAAAAGAGCAGTTAATCCAATGATCGTGTTTTGCACTATATTTAAATAAATAAATAAATAAGTTGAATTGAAACAATGCCTATAATATGTACGATATTTTTTAGAGCAAAGTACTGGTTAAGATTTTGTAATCGTGAAGATTTGGTGAATAAGACCCCAATACAACTTTATAATAATAATTCTAAGATATGTGCACAACATTTTGAAGATAGAATGTTTACAATCCACCTAAAGAATAGATAAAAATTTGTTTATATTTTGTAAATTCTAATGAAATAAAAATATCCGTTAAAAAATTCACTTTATTTTTTCATTTCCAACTTCTTTTTATCAAGTTTTCACCAGTTTTAGAACTAAACAAAAAATACTCAGAACTGGCACAAGGCACAAAACATTTTTTTAGTATTATCAACACAAATTATGATTAAATATCTTATTTTAATTTTCATTTATTGTTAACGTCGACAATAAAGAAGTGTTATAAACAGGAATAATCCACACTGTATTTAGGTAAATCTCCATTCAATGAATAAAAAAAAGTTTATATAAGCAACATAACTAATTGTTGTTATTTTTAAATTTGGCGCTTCTCTGTACCTACAAAATAATGGCGAAAGGTCATCGAAATTTGATACGGCGCGGCGCGATCAATAGCCCAGTTACTGTAGCTGGAAACATAGTAGTACCACCGAATTTTTTATAACTGCATCGATTTTTCTCAAAATTTAGAATTAGGCTCATCTTATCCCCCACTTCAAAATTTATATATGCGCTAGGCGTACTTTTTGTTCTTAAGGGGTGAAAACCACCCCTTATTGGAAAAAAAAGAAAAAATACAAATTTAAGCATTTTATGTAATCAAATCTCTTTTATTTATGCAGTATGAGTAATTCCATGTGCTATTTAACATGAGACTTAATGTATCCCAAATTTTCAACCCGGAAAAACCTTTAAAAACCATCCCTTTGGATGAAAACAATATATAAAAAAAATCAACTTGAAACATTTGAATCATGCATTTTTATCAAATTAAAATAGATTTCTTGATTAAAAACTCTTTTTTATCGGTTGCAACTTTTCAACCCTTGAAAAATACCCTTCTTTCGAAAATAAAATAAAAAAATATTATTGAAAGAGTAGAAACATTTTAAATGTGCATTCGTATTAAATAAACATTGATTCCCTTCTTATAAAATGTTATAATGCAAGTTTTCATACCTTCTTTCAAAGCAATTTTACTAGTTTTTACCGAAGCAGTTTACAAGGTGTATTCTTGGTGATCCATTGATGAAAGGTAAAAAAATTATTTTGGATACATCATAATTATCTTTACAACTAGTTATCATTCAGTTATCAAATATATATCAAACAGTTTTGTTTGAGCCCTTTCAAGGGCGTATAACTTCCTAAGGGTGCGTTTTAGGGCACATGTTAATAGAAACTTTTTGGCTTATTTTAATGAGTTATAAACGCAGCAGAAGCGTATACAAAAAAGATTTAAATGCTTCAAAATTCTTGGTTGATCTAAATTTTCCTAAAATTATCACCTATACACGTGTTTATTTTTTTGACGATAACTTTCTTACTTTTTAAGATTTTTAATCGCACAAAGGCTCATTTTGCAGGGAATTTTAAGTGCTACGTGAACTGTTGAGTTGATCTGTTTTAAACCCTTAATTTTTAAGTTTGAAGGGTTTAAAGGGCTCGAAAAGGGTGGTTCTGTCATTCATATGATAACTTAAAATGGCAATATCTCGATTAATATTAATTTTAGAGACATAAAAAATAAAGCAAAATCTTCAGCAAAAGCTAAATTTTTTTACTCTTGTATTTTTTTGTACACCCTTTAATTTTTCAGTTACAGCGTAAAAATCGAATTTTTTTTCAAAAATTTGAAAAATTCACAATTTCAAAAATTAAGTTTTTTTTCGAAATCATGCTTTGTAAGTGAGCCAAAGACCCAGAACATATTCTTAGAACATAAATGAAGAAATCTGTAAATGCATTGCATTTAATTTTAATTCTGTCGCCAAAGGCACTGATTTGTTTATTAATTTTTTCTTAAAAAAAATAAGACTATCATGTTATTTCGATCATATTTCCGTTAATTTTGATTCTAAAGACTTAAAACAACTCATTTTAAAGATTTTCAAAGTACTTTAAAAAATGTGCAAATAGTTTTTTCCTAATGTTTATGGTTTTGGTGTTATTTAACGTTAACTGATAACAATTTAGTTTTTAGCTAACATATAATAATGTTTAAAAATCCATAACTCGATTTATATTGCAATTAGAGAAAAACAAAATACTGCCTTAAGATTTGTTTTTTTATTACCTTTTTTTGTTCATTACAACTTTTTCGTTAAATTTAATGGTTTCAGAGTTATTTGCAAAAAACTGTCCGAAAACTTTTTCAGTAAAAAATCAACATTTTCCATGACGAATTACTCGGAAAATATTGGATTATCCAAAAAAACTTTAACATTTGTTACTTAAAATGGACTCTATCGGTTCCTGTGGTTAATTTTGGCGAAAAAATTTCCACCCCCGAGAAGGGGTGGGAACCACCCTCCAGGGCAAAAGCACACTTCGGCACTATATAAGTTTTGTTCCTTGAGGTATTCCCCACATTCAGTAAAAATTTTACGTTAATTGTTTCAGTTATAAAGAATTCGGAGGTAAAAACCCTGAGTAACTGGACTACAAAGGAGAAGAGCCGGCTTTCGCTTCTGGTGTTTTTATATTCTATGATTATAGCTTCTTTGGTTGTTGATCAGTTCTATTTTTAGTAGAGTATTCCACAGTTTTTTTGCATAAGGTCTGTGAATGACTCTGTTTATCATATTTAACTATCAATGTCGATATAAAAAGTTTTATCTGTATTTTGAATATGATAACAGAAACAAAATATTGTTTTGGAAATATCTGCATGTGTATCTAATGATATAAATAAACATTAATGATAATGACATGCATCTGTGTTAACAATTGTGTGATTTTCTTACTATGCCAAGATAAGACTTAAAAAGTAACCTTGATAAGTATTTATTTTTGCGTGTTGTCAAATATGGCACTATACTAACAATAATAAAACTACTGAATTTGTATTTATTAGTTCCTTTATATGTATTTAAATTCTATACGAGGATTATCAGATGTGTTCTCTTCAATGAAAATAATATCATCAACGTAGCACTTCCGGTTATCAACATCGTTATTTTAAATGGAACATCTTATATGTTATTGCATTATCGACAAGATAAATAAAAAATAAATTAAAAATATTGAAACTGCCCTGTACCTAAATCTAACTGTTTTCGAGGTAGGTAATCAATATTTTATAAAAATTTTGACAGATGCAGGCGTTTCGAAAATTCCCTTTATCTTTCTTCATTCTAGAAGTTTTCACTTACTTTTCGGAACACACAAAGAACATAAGATGCAGTACCTTCCGCTATCAAAATCACCTGAAGAAAATTATACCAAGTTGAACCATTTTTTACGTTACATTTTGAAAACTTAAAACCGGCAAAACTTTTTAAATTCAAATGGAACAACATGTATTTTTTGCACATATTATAGAAATTCGATTTCTCTTTTCACTTGTATAGGTATTGTAGGGGTTACCTTTCGATTTTCTCAGATATTTGCGGTTTTCTTCCATTCTCAAGAATATTACATTAAAAATATCATTAAATGTGCCTTGAAAGGCAAATATTGGTATTGACATACAGTATTCTACACGTATCAAGTATTTGTTCGACAAGAAAAGTGCAAAATAATTCATCTAAAGAAGACATTTTGAATTTATTTGATACGCATGGGACATTCACCATTATTAGCTGCATTTCTATGAATTGGTATTTTGCAATATTTGAAATCTCGAAAACGGTAATATTTAGGTACACGAAAGCTTTAACATTTTCGACTTATTTTTAATTTATCTTGTCGATAATACAATAATATATAGGGTGTACTATTTAAGCTACTTCCGGTATAACCGGAAGTGCTACGTTGATGGCATTATTATTATTAAAGAGAACATATCTGATAACGCCCATAAACAAAATTTCAATCATATTGTCTTTAGTTTCTCTGAAACGTTTGATAGGCCACTTACCGTGACGAGACATTAGACATATTTCAGAGACTACTTCGAATTTAATTTTGAAAATTTGGCAATAGTGTTTTCGGGCATGCCCTTCTTAACTAAAATAATGGCGTCCACCTAGCGCCTCCGGTTATACCGGAAGTTGACGTCATCTTCGTTATTTAAATAGAACATCCTGTATATTATTGTAATTTTGTGTAATGTACGATACTATACTAAACTAATACAATACTAGTTACATAATTACCTGAAGGAAAAACACTGATACTGTTAGGCCAAAGAGAACACACAATTTTAACATTTTTTAATGCACATATTTAATATGTCACATACCTAATGTTTTCCAATAATGACTAGATTCCCAGGCATATCTTGCTACTAAATTAGTAATTTAGTGACAGTAAAGTACCACAGATATAACATGTTTTTGATAATTTTGATATGATTACAATATATATGTAATCAAATCAATTCTACTATCTTTTATTGAACAAATATTACTTAATATGTATGAAACGGTAATAGTCCACAGTACAGGCCCCCTCTGGAAAGTTGATTACCAATACTTTATAACTCCTGAGGAGCTTCGTTTTGACGAGTCTACCACATTTTCCCTCTGCGACTTTTCTCGATTCCTCTGCTTTTCCACTCGGAAAAGTCCAAAAACATGGCAATTTCCCGGAGTCTTGAAAAGTCAAGACCACATCTTTTATTTTTAGCTTAAGTAACTGGAAATTTTGTTGCAAATGCTTATTTTTAGTTTCTGAACTCAAAATTCTTAAAAGGATTACATAAAAATGTTTTTCGCTTTTTTTGTACTAGAAATATATTATGAATTTGTATACAGGGTGACCCATTAAGAATGGAAACACTCGCGTACAAAAGTTGTTTATGGACCGGTTTGAACCGTTTTTTTTTTAAAGATAGATCTCCAAAAGCTCTATCTTGATGCAAAATTTGAAGACGAAATTTTGATTTTCAAGGCCTACTATGAATTTTTTTTTAAGTGAAAAATAGCAAAATTTTGTTACCGATTTTTTTATAAAAAATCTGACTACACCACTGGATTTAGGCACCTCTCAAATGCATTTGTACCAATTTTTGCGAAAAAAGTTTGCCCCTAAAAAAGTTATGACAATATCGGCATCACCAGTGTTTGCCGTTGTCGGTGAACCTATTCTTTTATAAAAACCAAATAGAACCCAAAAGGGAAACAAAATTAAATAACAAACACTGGTTTAATAATTATTAATAAGAACCATAAAAACCAGTATACATAAAATAAACAACAAGTTCGTCAAATTATTATTATTTCGTGGTTATTATGCCAAAACTTACAAATATTTTATTCAAAAAGCCACTGGATTCTACAACCATAATCCAACCATACTTTGTGAGGAATTTTCTGAAAAAAATATTACGAGATATCCAGAAAATAACGTTGCTTAAAAATAATATGAACAAAATTTGGTAGGCTGTGAAATATAGAAGTTTAGACAACAAATGTCAAACTTCACAAGTAGTGGCACATTGTAATATTTTTTGTGCATTCCATAATTCTTTGCGATGGCTCAAAGTTTAACTTTACATGGGAAAATTGAAATAGTACGCCTTTCTGGAGAAAATGATCGGACGGCAAGAGTGGTGTGTATAATTTTTAACAACAGACATCCAGATAGACCTAATATTACGCATATCACAGTTTTTAAAATAAACAATACTTTTATGGAATATGGTGCTGTATCAAAATGCATTTTAAAAAGGGACAATCAACAGAGAAGAGCAGGAAATTTTAAATTATTTTACAAACAATCCGCAGAATAGCCTCAGGATTACTTGTTTACATTTAAATTTATTTACCTAGTGAAAGTATCCGATGCTGCCTAAAAAAAAATAACATAAAACCCTATAAACCTCAGTTTCTTCACACTCTGGAACCAGGCGATAATGAGAAACGAATGGACTTTTGTCTCTGGGCACAAGGACAATATCTCAATTACCGATTTTTTTTTTTTAAATATCTTATTCAGCGAATGGAATTATATCATCACAGAAGACAATATAGTCAGAAAGTTAACGTTTGGTGTGGGATACTTAACGAGAAAGTCATTGGTCCAAGGGAATATGAATGTCGAACAATTTCTACATTTTCTTCAGAACGAATTTTTTAATACAGTCGATAATCTTCCATTGCAAGAAAGAGTAAATCTACATTTTCAGTTGGATGGTTGTCCAATACACAATGCGAGACATATCGGGAGTGGCTTAAAGAGAATTTCCCCAATCATTGGATAGGTCGAAACAGTCCATTAATTCATTAACCACCCCGATCTCCGGACCTTACCCCACTTGATTTTTTTCTGTGGGGCTTTATTAAGTCCAAAGGTTATAAAACACGGCTAAATAACCGGGAGGTATTGTACACTAGAATAAGGGAAGCGTGTGAGGAGATTAACGCGCATCAATTACGAAATGTTGTAAAATATATAAAAAAACGTTATGAAAAATGTATAGAATTAAACGGAGGATTAGTGGAAGCTACAAATATTTAAATTTAATGACGTAATTAGTGTAAATCAATTTGATAGATTTTTTCATTTTAAAAAATGTAATTTTTTAATAATTTTTTTATCAATTGTTGTTTATATTAGAGTAATTGTTATTTATTTTGTGTATACTGGTTTTTATGATTCTTATTAATAATTAGTAAACCAATGTTTGTGTTATTATTTAATTTTGTTTCCCATTGGGTTCTATTCGGTTTTTATAAAAGAATAGGTTCACCGACAACGGCAAACACTGGTGATGCCGATATTGTCATAACTTTTTTAGGGGCAAACTTTTTTTCGCAAAAATTGGTACAAATGAATTTGAGGGGTTCCTAAATCCAGTGGTGTAGTCAGATTTTTTATAAAAAAATCGCTGACAAAATTTTGCTATTTTTCACTTAAAAAAAATTCGTAGTGGGCCTTGAAAATCAAAATTTCGTCTTCAAATTTTGCATCAAGATAGAGCTTTTGGAGAGCAATCTTTAAAAAAAAACCGGTTCAAATCGGTCCATAAACAACTTTTGTATGCGAGTGTTTCCATTCTTAATGGGTCACCCTGTATGTAATCGTAAATCTTATTAAACTTGTAATATGCTGAAACGGTATTATTAATATCAGTAACCACAAAGGTAAAACCAAACCTACTTTCATGATAAGTGTTGTTTATTTATTCTGTTATCTGCTAATAGAATATTAATTTCATAATCATTCACAATTATTCTTCAATAATTAATTTCATATAATATATGTACATATTTCATGTTCAACTTGAAACAATTTTATAAACAGTAAGAGAGACATAAGTTCTGAATCACCCTGTATATATATCATTTTTTAAATAATATACTTACTACTGAATTATATATAGCTTATTTTATAATCGATTTTCCTTAGTTTTTTTAAATCTGATGGAGAAAATAAAAACAGAATTTTATATAAATAAAAATACTTGTATATAATTGGAGGTCAAACGAACTTACCTGTAAGTTAGATCATAATTATGCGAGGCGCCCAATCCAAAGTTGAATTTGATTTATAATTTATGCCATGAAATTTCTTCAGCTTCTCTTAACCCATGCGTAATTAAAGATCAAAAATCATCTTCATATTTAGATGGAATTAATAAATTTTTTGTTATAAAAAACGTATTAATGAAAAAGTGTGCAAACCTTTAACAAAAACTAATTTTTATTTCACTTCAAAGGGCTACATCTACCTCAGACTCAGGCTAATAGTCACTTTTGTCTCTGTTTGATGTGTTCCACTTGCTACAGGAGTTTGCAATCCTCTTTTGATGAAACTTCGTATATGAACAGTAGAACAGTAGTAGTCCCGGAAGTTATTTTTAAAGGACTCTATATTTCTAAGAAGTAAAAGATCACTGAAAAAGAGTAGGTACCTACATCAAAAGTGTTTAGCAAATATTATTCGATATCAAGCTTAAATAGTATGTCAGTTGGTAAAGATTTACCTGCATACCAGGTGTCTGGTACAAAACCTCTCAAGTTATAACCCCAATAATTTTTATTCGATTTCAAAATACAAAAAAGAACAGAAAGCATTAATGGTTCCAAAAATACTATAAAGTGTCACAATCTGCCATTACTTTTAGGGCCTGCCTTAGTGGCAGACGATCTTTGCTCTTGTTGTTCTTGAGCTAGGTTCTCTGGGAACAGACCCGCCATCGAAAGATAATGAGTGTGGTCTCACCGGAGCTGTTGCGAATGCTTTCAGGACAGTGCAGTTGTGTATCAAGTATTCTCCCCTCATACCGTTGTTTGTTATTGAGAAGAAGTAAGCAGGTTCTGCTCATCTAGAAGCCTTCTTCAAGATTCATATTATTTAGATGTTGTTCGATTTCCAGTGCTTCCCGACTCGCCAGGTTATAAAACCCTGTTGTTCTCATATGTACCTTGAGCCAAGTTGGGCCTTGAGGCTCAACCAACCTGAGAAACCAACCATGGTCCAACGCGCGTTAGAGATGAAGAATTGAAAATCGGACAGCATCCTAATATGAATAGTACTCCTCTTTACGAGGAGGAGGAAATTGGGGCCAATAATGGCACCAACTCTTCTAAACACCACACTAAGCTTTGCAACGGATGTAAAGTATCTTGTAGTCAAACTCAATGCAAAGCTAACATGGAATCTTCACCTGGAGGAAGAATAAAAAAGGCATATACAGGGTGTTAGTAAATAAGTGCGACAAATTTCAGGAAACGATTATACAAGAGAAAATAATGGCAGTTTGCTTATAAACGTATGTCCGCAAATGATTCGTTTTCTGAGATACGGGGTGTCAAAGTTTTTCTTAAAAACTGACGATTTAATTTATTGCTCTGAAANACATGAGAAAATAATGGCAGTTTGCTTATAAACGTATGTCCGCAAATGATTCGTTTTCCGAGATACGGGGTGTCAAAGTTTTTCTTAAAAACTGACGATTTAATTTATTGCTCTGAAACCGGTCGAGATATGCAAATGAAATTAGGTGGAATTTAAGAGGTAGTTATTGCGCATTTTTTGACACGCAATTGAGAATTTTATGTTCATCATTGGCGCGGGTACGGGTAATAATCTCAATTTTTTTTAAGAAAAAATTGGTACGCCACTGAGATATTACAAATTAAAAATCATTTTTTCTCGTTCAATTTGTGACAAAAAATCTCTCTTGCCTTTTCTTCGTATGGGGCGGCGTTTTGATGCAAAAAAAAATATGCAAACGATTTTCGAGAAAAAAGGCTTTTAATAAAACTCTTACAATATTACACTATAAAATAAGTGACTCTTCTCAAAGTAAGCTTGAGCTTTGAGAAGAGGAGAT